GAGAGAGAGACTAATGCAGAAAAAAACCCACACTCATTGTCCCCACAGCAACAAGAACTCAGACATGAGCTGGCATACATTTTACAGAGGTGCTGCAAAGAGGATGGAGCTTCAGCGAGCTGCTCAAATGTAAAAAACAATCTCACACATACACTTCTCCACCTCCACCCCTGCAGAACATAACACATGCTGGACCAATTTTCTGAATCTATTTTTAACTTTTGCCAGAGTGGGGACACCTTTCAACCTGATTTTACTTCTCCTTAGCATCCACTGAAAACTAGTCAACTAGTGACCGCCTTTACTATCTGGAGACAAAACCTTAAAAATAGACTTGCAAAGTAAATTGAGCAGATATGTCACCAAGAGCAAGTAATACCCTTAAGGTTATCAAAGAGAATACAAAACTCACACAGGGTTTTATGACACATTTGGTTTTTGTACCGGGGATTGCCTGGAGCCTCAGGAAAAGGCTGGTTCAGCTGCAGAAACTGAGCAGGAAGAGAAGCAGCACTCACGACCACATACATCACAGAAAACCACATTAACTTAAAGCTAAACAGCTGGATTTAAGAACACCTCCCTGCATCCCTTCATAGCTTTAATGGCTAGTCCCAGTGCCACTGGGACTCCTCAGGCCACCTTACAACCCTGAGATACCTGCATGTTCAGGGCTCTGGGGCACAGCCATGGAAGAACATGTCAGGGTCAGCATCGGTTGTTGCCACAGCCACAACGTGGTCCTAGATAGCAGAGACACAGGTCTGCTCATGGAGAGCTTCTCACCCATCCCCGATCTTCTGCTGTAAGAGTGTCCCTTCCTCCCAGCCACTATCCTGCTTGAATGACATGCTGGTTCCAGTCTGGATATTGATTTACAGCTTGGAGTCAATGGATACAACTCATTTACAAGCTCTCTTTTCCACATTAGCACAGGGAGTATGTACTAAAGTCCCCTGTAACATCAGTCTGACAGAGGAATGGAGGGAATGCTTCAGAGAAACAGGAGACTGCAGATTGTCTCTGTGGTCTCTGCAAAGAGCCTAAAGCCCCTAAGCACACAGCTAAATGCACTGTCTCTGCAGTGGCTCTTTTGGACACAGGATCATTATTCAAAGCCAGAGCCCAACTGGAAGATGGAAGGTGGGCCCTACCTTACACAGTTAAATAGAAAAATTAAAGTATGTTTTGGTAAAAAGAAAACAATTTATTTGTATGCGTGATTTACTACATTGCATACAGTTTGCAGCAGTGGCTAGGGACTTCAAAGGCAACAAAAATCCAGTATACTTGTCGGTCCGTATATACCTTATCTGCTGCACAGCCTAGAAGAACCACCCCTGCTCAGAGAAGCAGCTGCATTTCAGTTCTTCCACTCCATGGACATCCTAAGCCATCTCAGAGAAGCTGTACCAAAACCCTGAATTATAAATGGAGGCACAAAAATCCCACATTGGTGCCCTTCTTCCCAGCCCAGGCCAAGTCCGTCCATGATGCACCTTCCACTACAGGGCCAACAGTGACCCTGACATGCTTCAGGTTCCCCAGTCGAGGCCCCAGTTTATTCAAATAAACCTGCTAATAGCATTGAGTTGCCTAGTGCAAAACCAGTTAAAAGCTCCTTCCCAGAACTGCTATCTGCAAGCCATGGTCCTCGTTACCAGATGGATTAATTACTGGTCCTAGGGAGTTCAGCGGTTCAAGCTACTCAAGGCACTTGTTAAGGAGGGTTTGCCTTTAATCCTCCAAGGAGACAATCAGCAGCAGTGTTACAACCTGCTCCAGTGCAAGGACTTCTCTAATTAGTGCTGTAACGAGACCTCACCTGGGCAGCTCACAGGGCTCTGACACAGGCTACGGCACTGAGACAAAGACCCCACATCTCTCAGGACGCGGCTGGGAAGAACCAGTGCAACCACTTCATCTGTGGGAGCCACGCGTTCTGCTGACTCCATCCATGAACCACCTGAAAATCAAACCTCTGCTAAAAAAACCCCAAAACAGCAGTTCACTCCAATTTTCACAGTCACCAGCTCAGGAAAGGGCTCATATGATCTCTAGCATGGAGGGTTTGAGAGAAACTGTCAGAAATGCTTCTTTGACACACTTTGGTACACAGACCGAGTGTCTTCTAAGTTTTATTAAACTCAAGTGTTAATGCTAACGAGCTAATCCTGATTCTAACATTTGCAACAGCCCAAGGCACAGACAGCTGCACTCCAGTGCTGGGAACAATAAGCTGTCCTGTGTGCGGAGTGTGCAGCCATGCTCTGGTCTTAAGGTTTATGCCCTGCCAAGGAAAGTGGTTTCTAGAAGAGAGCAAAACCCATGCTGGGCATTTTCTACCTGGTCTCAGAGTTCAGCCTCAGGATCTCCAAAAAGCAGCAGCTGGGAAAAGGGGAGTCAAGTCCTCGTAGGACCTTGGTTGCACCTCAGAGTGGAAAAGGGCAAAGCAGCAATTGCAACAAAGCACCCAAGTGTTTTGTTCACTGGCTCTTCTTTTTGCAACAGCCAGTTTTAGACTAAATGTTCTTTAAGTTTAAAAGTTCCAATTAATGTTTCATCATTCAGATTAAAAAGCCAGGCATCTGTCAAGGCAGCAACCAAGCTGTCATCATCAATTCCCTGCTATGAAAATCCTCATAGCCCTGACCGAACTCTGCAAGGTCTCACTGCCGGGTGCTTTCTGGCAGGCAGGATGAGAGTGGGCTTGCCACTGTCATAAATTTATCACGGCAAAGACGAGGTGCAGGGTCAGCCGGGGTTTCCTCAACAAGAAGCGATGGCACTCTGCACCCAGCAGACACAAGAATCAACCCTAAAGTTAACAACGTGGTCATCAGTGCAAAAAGCAGGAGGTGCTGTGGGTCTCCCCACAGAAGTGTCTGCTCAGGGATTTACTCTTTATGCAAATCTTTCTTCTCTTCCACACTGAAACCATGGTCAAGTCAAGTTAAGAATGAGTGACTAGTTCTAAAGTTTCAGAGGGGCATACCTGGGGACCAGGCTGTCCCTCTCGGGATCACCACCTCCTATAGCAGAGTTTGGAGATCTGAGTGCTGGACACGACTGCTTGTTCTTGCTGGAAATGAGGCAGGATGCAGGCTCTGAGTTTAAATGCTGTAAAAGCAGGCAGCTGCCTGCACGGCAGTTAGAAGCATACACTCATCCTTGTATGCAGTACCTTGCAGGACTCGCTACCCTTCCCACTGTTGGAACAACTGTCCAGTGCTAGAGCTCAGCTGCACGGGGACCCAATTCCTAACTCTGGGGTGCCTCCACTGCAAAACAAGGATTCTCCCACTGCCACACGCCAACGACCTGCTGGGAGAGCAGAAACACAGGCTGTCCCCATACCACACCTCTGACACAGACCAGAAGGCAGCACCCCCGGGCGATGGGGTCCAGCACTGCAGGATCATCCCTGCCCCTCCGGGGAAAGGATCTGCCAGCTGCAAACTGAGTTTAGTTACTGTCTTTTGGTGCTTGGCTTCTCCTACATACAAACTATCCCGTACAGAAAGATATCTGCTGTTTCTGCTAGAGCTTTTTGGAGGGCAGTATGCAAACAGACGTCAAGATGATTTTTGAGAGGCCCAGATAAGCTTTGTTGGCATGTATAAGCAGACTGCAAATCATGGGGGCATACTAAACTTAAAAAAAGTCAGATTAAAGGACAAATCACCTTTGTGAAAAGCATAAACAAATTCTGGTGACCTTGGTGAGGGCCAACTGAAGCATCGACCTCAGCATTACCCAATCTTACTCCTTAATCATATCAGCGAGCAAGTGAGAACAAGTTTAGAGGCAAACTCAGCTCTGACGTATAGTGTCAACGTAGCCAAAGTCCAGAAAGCAACAAGATTTCTCTGTGTAATGGCTGCAGGGTAGGAGTCCTACTGCAACACATTCTTTTTCTGCACAGCTGAGGTGGGTGATGCTCTCCATTCGCACGTTTATAGAAGCATCTTTGCTCAGGCTATAGTAAAGGCTTTATTTCCCTCAAGACCACCAGGGAAGCAGAGCAATTAAAAGGAGAGTTATTATCATCTCCTCTTTGAGGAGTTAACGCCTCTACCACCTGCCTGCTGATGCCTGCAGCTGCTAAAGGCAGAGGCCTCCTTTTTCCACTCCCAGTGACACACCTCTTAATTGTGCTGCCCAATTGGTATTTATAAGTATTTCAGTTTTCCACAGGGCTTTGTGCAACTTGGTCGAAAAAGCTAATTTCTTATTAGCAAATACAAAGAACTATATTGGTAGCTCTGGGAATCAAGTTTCCTACAGAAAAATGATGGCACCTCTAGCAGGGCAACAGGTTGCAGCGATGCAGGAGTCAGAATTATCATCCGCTCTCCCAAACGAATGTATTTGAAATTGTAATTGTGGCCAAAAAAAAGACAGCAATAATGACAAATCCTCATCGCATTCAGCATGTCTGTATTTCGTTTCTATTTAAAGTTTGCGCCCAAGTCCAGCAAAAACTATATAGCAGCTGGATGCTTTCAGCAACAAAATGATCTAAGCACCACATGCAACATTTTACTCCTTGAAAATTTTACAAGAAGAAAGACCTACTGGGTCATGAAAATCCACCTAGGAGCCCACAGTCCTGTCCATTAATTCTAGTGTTCTGTCCTCAAGTGGCCCGCAGCCATTCAAGGATCTCAAAAGTTTTTTTAAAAGATATTTACAATGCATCATCCCTATATGGTATGTGGGGAAACTGAGGCAGCACAGCATGCCCACAGCATGCGTGCACACCACAACGGCTGGGCTAACCGGGACAGCGATGGTTAGCCAAACAGGGCACAAAGAGCGTGGACTCTGTCCACAGCTCAGGAGAAACCTTCTTCACAAAGCTCTTTTGAGTTACCACATTGCACTAAAAAGATGAGGGCTACTCCTAACAAGATACTTGTTTTACCATAATGCGGCATGAGAAGAGTTGAAATAAGAGGCTCTACGCTGCTACGCTGTTACATCAGCAGTTTGCACGCTTGCAGACCAAAGGCCCTGCAGAACATGGAGAAGAAAAAACGTTTCTCATTTAACAGAGCCACAAGAAGCCTGGGAACACAGGAGTGTTGTGCATGGGGGGGGGGCCGGGGCATAAAAAAAAAAAAAAAGCCCTGCCAGCAACCAGTTGCCAGACTGGAGAGCTGCTTCACACCTGGAAATACAGAGCAATCAAACCCCAGAGGCAACTGGGCTTGGCCACATCTTTGTGCAAGGTTTCCTGAAGACCAAGGCCATGTCATGTTTGGAAGAAAAAAAACCTCCAACCTTATTTTTAGCTTAACATGAAAAGTATTAGTATTTTAGCCATACAACTCTGGGGATATTCGTATTTTATCCATAAAGTAGAAGCAGAAAACACTTCAGCAACCTTTGATGTTAAAATATTTAATTTCCAGCTCTATCACAAAAAGTAAACAATCTGCACTATAAATCCAGCTGAAGGCTTCTCTGAAGTGAGAGCTTGTCACTTTTGTTGCTGCTTTGATGGCACATGCACCATTAACAGCCAAACAGTTGATAGATCTTTTTATTGGCTCTTTTATATGTGCACATACTCTGTGCACTGCAAACTGAGAAGTTTCTCAGATGTGTTACTGCATTGCAACAGGCTCACGTTCTGATCTCATTCATCCGCGCTCACTTCTCTCTCTCTCATTTCTTTCCACCACTCCACCAGCAACAGCTCATTTGCTTTTTTCCCCTCCTCAGAGCCCACATGCTGGGGCTACAAGCACCTCCAGCTTCGCTACTCGCACCATGCAAGGACGGCCTCCTTCTGCCCACGCAAATCTCCACATGGATGTCTCCTTCTCCTTATTTTAAGTCCTAGGCACTTCTCTTGCTGTTACTCAGCTTAATTACTACAGTGAGGAGTCCATAAATAAGTCAGAAAAACACAAGCATTTTGTTTGCTAATACAAATGAACTCAGAGTTACATACCTGTGATCTTTTGGTGGTCTCTCATTTTACTTTAAAAGTAAAATGTTTCCATTTTTTAAGAGTTTCCCATGGCAATGGGAAAGTAATGACCCAAAACAAAAGCTGCCTGCGAACAGCTCTTGCAGATACCACGTTTCACAGTGGCTTAAGAATCTAGCAACTAAGTTTTGCATTATATTGTCATGGATTAGAAACATGATCTGTTATCAGCCAAGGCACAGTAGATTTCTTTGTAAAATTTTATTAGAAGCGTGAGCTTGTCTGATTCCACCTAAATAATGGAAATGGTGTTTTGACCAGAATATGATCTTTCTGCAGAGCAGAGAGGAAATCCGCACATCTTTGCTCTACTACAACACCTCTTTGTATGTTCCCCGAAACCTCTGACCTTTCCATCTTGCTACTCTCTTGGAAGAAACTGGATTTCAGTGTTTACAATTTGTTGTGGTGCATCAGACTGAGTGTATCCAGAGCCTCCTGCAAAACACACCTGCCTGCATTCAGGTCCTGCACCCCAGGGGAAGGAGATTTCCCT